CCCTCCCGCACACACACACACACACAATCACACATCCACCCCACCCCCTATTGCCGCACTGGCCTCGCCAGGGGCCCATCCGACCCGCTACGTGTGACCCATGCTGCCATGCATCCCCGCCTCCGGCTTCACTTCCCCAGGTGTCGCCTGCCCTGAGAGACACGCCCGGCTATGCCCCCCCCCCCCCCCTATGCCTCCTTTGCCGTCGAGGGGAGCAGGTATTTATTTGGCCAACCTGCGGACCGCTGTGGAGCAACAGCTCTTCATAACAGTCTTATCAGATCTCGAGGAACATAGCAACAGTAAGCCTCCGCCCATGCCTCCTCCCGCTCCGCTGCCCTCCCCCTTTTCTTTGCCCATCTTGTTCCCTCCCCCTCCCCCCCCCCTCCCCCATCTGTATGGCTTCATTCGCTTGCTGACCTATGGACCATAATCCCCGCCCTTGCCTAACCTCTGTATCCCAGGACAGTTCACCGGATACTTGATATTTACATAATCCCTTCGCCCAATCTTTCTCACCTTCACGACAGAGGTACATATATACCCGTGCCGGGGAGCACACACCCATCGCTGAAAACGCGCCTCCGCCAGCGTCACCCAGGATGGTGGACTTACATATTTTCCACCTCGCCCCCCCCCCTCGGGCCTCTCTGCAACTATGCCCTTAGGTGTCTCCATATCAGGTGTATCCCGCCACAACACTCTTCACCCCCCCCCCCCCTCCCAAACACACAAGTACGCATCGGGGACACTCCCGCTCCTGGCGACCCGGCGCTCTGTCCGACTGCTGGGCCTACTTTCATGCAAATGCCCTCCACCCACCCCCTACACGAACAGACACACACACACATATATATACATACATTTCCCTCGACAGATCCGGCTGCCCTCCCTGTGACACTGACATCCCTGGAAAACACCTGGAAACCCCACGCCACGGCCACACACAGCTCCCAAGGAGAATATGCCCGCTCACCGCTCCAACTCGTCCTCGAGTCTGACTCCGGCGGACATCGAGGCGCGCCAGCATGCCATCAACATGACGGACTCCCTGAGCAAGGGCCAGATTCCGCACAATGCCGAGCTCCACCACATCCTCGACACCACCAAGCAGGCCCTGCAGCGCACCCAGGCCCGCGGTGTCCTCAGCCCCACCGGACAGTCGACCGCGCGCGACGCCCAGCGCTGGGTCGACGCCCTGCAGACGGTCATCAACGAGAAGAACCCGGATGAGGCCATGCAGCGGGCCGCCTTCAGCGCGGCCAAGGCCGCCGAGGCGGCTTCGCTCGATCCGCGCGCTCGCGCCGCGGCCAACATGGCCGGCACCATCGACGGCCGGGCCGCCCTGGCTTCCGTCACCCGCGGGCTCAACAACATGGTCAGCCCGGCCGAGCGGGACTACTTCCGCTCGGTGGCTTCCAACCTGGTGCGCCAGCTGATGACCTCCGGGGATCTGCGCGCCTCGCTGGAGAAGCTGTCCATGCTTCTGCTGGACATCTTCAGCAACCGCGCCTCCCTCGGCCAGATGGCCGGCCAGAGCCGCATGACCTTCCTCACCGGGGATTTGACCCCGCAGGAGCTGCAGAGCATCGGCTTCCGCGCGCAGGAGCTCTTCCTGAGCATCTCGCGCCAGCCGCAGACCCGCGCCGCCATCCTCAGTCTCTTTGACTTGTATGATGAGCTGAAGCCGCGCTTTGCCCAGGCCGCCAGCGGGCTCAAGCGCACGGTTGAAACCGCCTCCGAGGTGACCCACTCGGCGGCCGGCGTCCCGCAGGGGGCCGTCACCTCGCAGCAGCTGACCGCCGAGGCGTACGCCGCCAGTGCCCGGCGCGATGCGCAGGTCCTGCTGGAGCGCTTTGCCGGTGGGTACTCCCTCCGGCCGCTGTGGCATGCGCTGAAGGAGCTCTCCGGGGCTCTGGAGGCCGACGCGGCCCTGCACACGGCCATCCCCGGGGCTCGCAATGACACGTCCATCGGCGACTCCCTGTCTCTGACCCGGCGCTTCATCGAGGCCTCGGTCACCGACCCGGCCTGGACCGACTCGCCGGTCTGGCTGGACGACTTCTCGGAGTATGTGCGCCAGCAGCGCGTCCTGCTCCGGCCCTACAGCGGCCCGCTGCAGCGCGCCCTCACCGAGATGAATGGCTTTGTCAATGCCATCAAGACCGACCCGGCCACTCGTGAGCTGGCCGTCAGCAGTGAGCTTCTCCTGCAGAACCTCTTCCTGGACCCGGTCACCGGCCGTGCCACCTTCAAGCCGGAGGCCCTGCTGGAGGTGCGCAAGCTCGTGGTCCCGGTGATCATGCAGCTTCTCAACTGGGTGGCCCTGCCCCGGATTGAGACCGACCCGAATGACCCGGACTCCAACATGGACTTCGCCGTGGAGGGCATCGTCTTCCGCGGGTCGGAGGTCCTGCCGGAGCAGATCATCGTCGAGAACAACACCCAGGCCGTGCTGGACACCTCGTTCGATGGGTCCGGCGAGCGGGATGCCATCCAGTCGCGCGTGTACCTGGCCGTCAAGGACATCCGCGCCCAGCTGGAGGGCATCAAGTTCAAGTATGCCCGCCACAAGTTCCCCAAGCTCCATGATGAGGGTACCCTCGACCTGGAGCTCGGCGGCGATGGCATGCGCATCGAGGTCTACCTGGACATCAACACCGATGACATTGAGGCCAACCGCGCGCGGAACCTCGGTGCCCCGGACAACCGTGCCCTCCCCTCGGGCACTTGGAAGTCCGGCCCGACTCACCATGGGCGCCGGTCGATTGGGTCCCCTCGCCGGGGGGCGACCTCGCCCCGGACGACGGCGCCCGGCGACTGGGTCGACGATCCGCTCTCCCCGCGCTATACCTACCGCCAGGGTGTGGACGTTTTGTCGCACGTGCCCCACCGGTCGCCGCGCCATGTCGGTGTCACGGCCACCAACCACCCGCTGTCGGACAACCCGCCGGCTTCGCCGCTGTCCCCGCGTCGGCGCATCTCCCGCCGGGTGGGCGGCCTCATGTCCCCGAGCAGCCCGGAGCCGAATGCCTACCTGACCAGCCCGCCGGGCTCGCTGCGGTCTTCCGACCCGGCCACCCTGACCGCCGGGGATTATTACCACCGTGCGGCCAGCAGCCGCGTGGTTGGCAGTAGCATTGGCACGGCCACCGAGGGCGGGCACTTCATGCGTGCGCGCCTGGTCCGGTGCACGATCGACTCGCTGCGCATCCGTAACATGCGCGGTGTCGAGCACCGTGCCCTCTATGCCATGGCCAAGCCGGTGCTCAACAGCGTGGTCAAGCGCCGCCTGGCCGAGTCCATCGAGGAGGCCATCGTCAAGGCCATCGCCAAGCTGGACCTGACCCTGGTCAAGCTCCAGCACAAGGTGGCCGAGCGCAAGCTCGAGATGTATGACCAGATCCATGCCAATGAGCAGCGCAATGCCGTCGGCCTGGCCATGGGCGGCACCGAGGCCGCGGTGGAGCGCCGCCGGGCCCTGGAGCAGGCTCCCTCCCCGCGCCGCGGTGGCCGGTATGCCACCGGTGCCGACATCGAGCGCGAGCTCGGCCGCCAGTGGGCCGGCGGCGAGGCTGCCATGGTCGGCAGCCCGCCCATCGGGCATTTGCATGCTCTGCCGGTTAGCCCCGGTGGCCGGCTGTCACGCCAGTTCAGCAATGCCTCCATCCGCAGTGGGGCCCTCTCGCCCACTGTCACCGAGCGCCAGGTCAACTATCGGACCGTGACCAATGCCAAGACCGGCCGTCCGGAGCGCGAGCGCGTCGAGACCATCACCACCACCATGGTCGAGCAGGTTCCCAGCCCGACCGGTGCCCAGCGGACCTTCATCCCGGCATCCAACTCGGCCTCCATGCGCCTTCGCCGGTCGAGCGAGGACTTCTTCGCGTACGAGCGCGACGGCCTGTCGCCGCGTCCGCGCGCACGCATGGCCACCCCGGCCCCGGCCATGGCCATGGCGGCGCCAGTGGCGGCCAAGCCGGCGCCCTTTGTCGCGGCCGGTGATGCGGCGGCTCCCATGTCGGACACCTGCTGCGTGCAGGAGGTCTTCCGCAGCCCGAGCGGCAATCAGGTCGTCGAGACGGTCACCTGCTCGTCCATCGGCCATGCGCATGGGCCTAACTGCCTGACCGCCAAGACGGCGGCCGGTGGCCTGGCGCGCGCGCCCATCGCCCCGGCGCCGATCGGCTCCTCCACCACCACCACCACCACCACCACCACGTCCTTCAGCCCGCGCACCGTGGCCTCCGGGTCCTTCAGCCCGCGCGCGGCTCCGGTGGCCGGCGCTTCCCCCCCGATGAGCCCCCGCACCCTGGAGCGCAACCGCGCCATCTCCGAGTCCACCGGCCAGCTGATCAACACCGACTACATGGACCCGCTGAACTACGAGAGCATGGCCACCGTGTCGTACATCACCTCGCCGTCGAACCCCTCGTCGCCGGTGCAGCACCGTGCCAGCCACTTCCCCCCTCGGTCGAGCATGGCCGCCGGCGGCCGGAAGTCCGCCGCCTTTTCCGGCCAGCAGGAGGCGCGCCTGATGCACAGCGTGCGCACAGATGAGCCAGCCATGCTGGGCCAGGACTCCTTCGTCACTTCGTATGCCGAGTACAAGGACTCGCAGATCAAGAAGAAGTCCTCGCGCGCGACCGGCGGCGGCGGTGGCAAGAGCGCCGCCTGGGGAGCCCCCGAGCCGCTGGCCGCCCCGCGCCACTTCGCCGACGAGGCGTCCCTCCCCTCGCAGTCGTACCAGGACTATGCCGCTGAGGCATACAGCTCGTCGTCTCCGAGCGCCGGTCGCTGGGCCGGGCGTTCCGCCGGTGCCGGCATCCCGGCGCCCCCGCCGCCCCTGCCGCAGGCTTACTCCGGCAGTGGTGGCCGGGCCGCCTCGCTGGCCGGTGGCAAGGACATGAGCTACGACTCGCCGGCCTCCTCCATCCCCGGCAAGAAGATGACCGGTCGCCAGATGCAAGAGCGCTCGCAGAAGCTTTACGAGAGCCAGATGCGCCGGCAGCAGCAGACCTTCGACTCGGGTAGCGGCGGCTTCGCGGCCAAGAATGCGGGCTCCTCCGCCTCGGCCGCCGCCCCGTCCAACGGCTACACGCGGAACCTGTCCCCGTCGACCGCCAACTACTCGGCCATGAACACGCCCGAGTCGACCGAGCAGTTTAGCAGCCAGGCGCCCAAGGCCCGGACCGCCGGGGGTGCCGCGCCCAGCAGCCTGTCCGCTCAGCAGACCGGCTCCAGCTCTGCCACCTCGGCCCAGGCGCCCCGCACCATGACCTATGCCGAGGCTGCCTCCTCCTCGAAGAACATCAACAAGCCCCAGCAGCAGCAGCAGCAGCAGGCCTTCGGCAACTCGGCCGCCCGCAACAACAACACCAGCGGCGGTGGCCAGACCTTCGTCACCGAGGAGTCTTCGGATAACTACCGCGCGTCGCGCTTCTCCAACGGCACCATCGACAATGAGATCGATGAGCTGAAGGCTGGCACCGGCGCCCGGCGCACCGGGGCTGCCCCGGCTGCCGCGGCGGCTGGTCTGTTCGCCGGCGGCCAGGGGGCCATGAGCAACGCCCTTGGCGCCGTGACGGCCGGCAGCATTCCTGGCGGTAGCCTCGGGGCCGCGGCCGCTCGGAGCACCCTCGGCTCCACGGCCATGGCCGGTGGCCAGACGGCCATGGGCAATGCCCTCGGGACGGCCGGCCTGCCGGCGCAGATGCTCGGCTCCACGGCCCCCCGTGCCGTGCAGGCCACCGCCGGGTCTCTGATGTCTGGCGGAAACGCCGGCTCGGCGGCCATGGCCGGCGGCCAGGTGGTCATGAACGATGCCATCGGCGCCGCAACCTCCAACCTGCCGGGTGCCCTCGGCACCGCGGCCCGCGGCTTCAGCTCCGCTCCCGGGCAGATGCTTGGGTCCATGGCGGCGAAGAACACCGCCGGTGGTGCTGCCGCCACCTCGGCAATGTCCGGCACCGCTGCCAAGACCGCCGCCCTGGACACCATGGCCCAGGGTGCCGGTCAGGGCTTGACCTCCGGCCTGGACCAGCATGCCTCGAACGTGGCCTCCTCGGCGGCCGGCTCCGCCACCCGCGGTCTTTTCAAGTGAGCCCTCGGGGTGTCTCTGTGACGACGGTATGTGCCCATTGTGTGTCCCTGCTCTCACACAGCGGAGGGGGGGGGGGGGGGGGGGGGGGGGGGGGGGGGGGGGGGGGGGGGGATAGACACAGAACACAATGTGACCGCGGGGGGGGGGGCTGGAGGAGCAAGCGAGACAGATGGCCAAGGCGCAACCGTGGCAGATGGCCGGGGGGGGGGGGGGGGATGTGCAGGCATGGGCCGGGCGGAGGCGGGCAGAGGAGGATCTTATCTGCTCGCGGGGGGAGACTGCATGTGTGTGCGTGTGTGTGTGTGTGTGTGTGTCGGCTTGCATGTGTCTACCACGCGATCATCAGCGTGTCCATGCCCCGCCCAAAACGACATGCGATCTGGCAGGACACACCGCATCTCAGCAGGGGGGGGGAGGGGGGGGAGAGCGGCCCTGATGGAAGTGCATGTCCCTTTTTTCTGCCCCGCACATCGATCGGGAGTCGCGCCGTCGTCCTCGTATGCGTATCTCGATCATGAACTGACATCTGCCGCTCGTTTTGACGCGATTTCGCCCTGTGGCGGCGTGTGCATCCTGGGGGGGGGAAACACCCGCCCACCTGTGTGCCGGCATTCTGCCTATCTCCTCATGCGCTCCGCACCACCACCACCACCGACCAAAAAGACTCCGGTGTAACGCTCACCTGCCGCCGGCTCTTCTCTCTCTCGCCCCCTCTCCCTCCCTCTTCACATTTTGTTGACGTCTGCGCGCATTTGCGTGTGTCCCCTTGCAGAGAAGAAGGGGACGTTGTGTGCGCCTTGGGTGGCGAGGCGGCAGAAGCAGCAGGGACGGAAGACAGGGGCGGAAGTCAAGGAGATGAGAGGGGTCTGACCCGCGTCGCGCCTCTCTCACTCCCAATGTACATGCGTGTACAGGGTCCCTGCATCATTTTGCCCGGACACTGTGCAAGCGGCTCCCCGGCTCCTCCTTTCCCTCTGCCTCCCTCGCCCCCTCGACCTCTCTGCCGCCCTCCTGACTTTCGCTGGGCGGATTGCCGGCGCAAGGAAGGGTACAAGGCAAACACCCGCACTCTCCTGCCAATACATTCATATTGAGATGATATCGTCTACACGCAGGTGGCGCGCACACGCACTTCTTCAAGAACCTCTGCGAGTATTTACACTTCCGCATGCGACATGCTGCTGTGGGCCGGGGGAGGGGGGGGGAAGCCTCTCAAGCTGGACTTCAAGCTGGAGGAACACTCCGCGTTCAGTCCCAACATGTTGTGCCCCCCTCCGCACGTCCCTGCCTAGCGACTCTTTTCCTCGCCACGCCATCCCCCAACCCCATGTGTCGGGGGAAGACCAGTGTGCCCGTGGTGTCTCTGGTTGTCTGTCTTCTTCCCAGGGTGGTGCCCCTGGCGAGAACCCTGCACCGAGAGAACCGATCTCCCCCTGCGCCCCCCCCCCCCCGGCCCGGGGCGAGATGCCGCCAGCAGGCGGTCCGCCGGCGCCCGATCGGACAGTATCACGTGAGGGTCCACCAAGACCTCTTTGGAAAAACACCAACACGGGCGCAGGGCCAGCAGGGGGGGGGGGGCGGAAGGGGCAGGGGCATGGGTGGATGCTGAACGCTGGGGTGTTGGGCCGGGGGATGGTCTGTCTCTCTCGATTTCGCCCCCCGTCCCCGCCCCCCCCCCCCTCCCCGGGGGGAGAGGGGGAGGGAAATGCCCCTGGGAGAACCCCAAGCACGTTTCTTATCGCCGGCGAGCTGGTGGAGAATGTGCCGCCGTGTAGGCGGTTCGCGAACCATCGAAATGCGCTGGGGCGCCACGATCGCTGTATCGATCGCGTCCGCCCCCCCCCCCCCCCCCGACCCGCCTCTTGGTCAGCCCCTTAATTGCGCATCCTGCCCCGCCCTGGGAACTGGAAGTCCAAGCACGACGGGGTGACAGTCACCGAGGATTGTGTGCGGGCCGCGCTGTGCACCCCTCGGCGGATGCGTCTCTCGGTCGAATGTGAGGCGATGACTTGGCATGGACCTTGTCGGTGAAATTACTTCGGCCACCAGTCCGGCCGCCCCCATTGACGGGCATTGGCTCTATCTATCTCCCACCGAACCACCCGCCCCTCCCTCCCTCCCTCCCCTCCCCCCCCTCATAACTACATCTACACACTCACGCCAAAGCATCTCTGCTCCGTGCACCACCTGCCTCGAATAAGAATCATGCTTCCCCGCTGGGTTTCGCAACGTCTTCCCACTCTCGTGCCGCGAGCGGCTCGGGAGGCGCTTCCCCGCGCGGCCGGGTCCCTGACCGGCGCGCTGGAGTCACTCCTTTCACCACCGGGCTCGGGGCGCTCCGAGCATGACGGCCCGCAGTTGGAGCCACTCCTGATCCCCCTGGAGCGCGAGGAGTATCCGCCCCGCCGGTCGGGCTCCGACAACGGGCCCTTCGATGGCCGGCGATACTTTTCTACCACGGCCACCAGCATGATGCCGGCTGGCGGGCCCTTCCGGCCCTCCCCCCCGGCGCCGGTCTTCTCCACCTGGGTCAACAATATCTTCAACTCGGTGGACAACTCCCGCATCCGCCTTCTTGGCGCGGACCTGTGCGTTCTCAGGCCCCTGTCCTCCCCTCTCTCCCCCTCTCCTCGGGGCCCCTTCCCCTTGAATCCTCCTGAATCATGCGCCCCCTTTCCCCTGTCCCTATGTGTGCCGTGCATTTCTTCTCCCTCCCCCCCCCCCTCCCGCTCCTCCTCTCAGGGCTGAATTGGCAACTGACCCCGCTCCTGCTTGCCGTGGGGATCCCTGCGTTCAGTGCCGCGGCCGAGTTCTTCCTCAAGGCCGATGGCAAGATTCGCCTCGAGGGGGATGCCGAATGGCTGACCAACCCCCAGCAACTTCTCCTTCGTCTGGACACCCTGTGCCCCGGGATCCAGAACAAGAAGCCCAAGTACACCGGGCCCACGCCAGCCATTGTGGACGCTGACCTCTCCGGCACGGCGATCACCGACCGTGGCATGGCCTACCTGGCCGGTGTCAAAGGCCTGGAGACCCTCAACCTGAGTGGGTGTCAGGTATGTTCTCTTCGCGTCCCCGCCATGGCCACTGCCCCCGGGCCGGGCCCTGTTGCTTGCCCACAAGAGGCTCCACCATGCTGCTCGCCTGCTTTTGCTGACAATCGCTAACATCATGCATGTGTGTGTGTGCGCGCGCGCCCGTGATATCCTCCTCTCTGTATCTCCCCACCCCTTGGCCCCTCCCTCCTCCCCCTTGCCCCCCCCCCCCCCCCCTCCGGACAGCTCATCGGGGAAGATGCGGCGGCTCTGATTGGCAAGCTCCCCCAGCTGCGGGAACTGGATCTCTCCAGGACCCGGCTCACCGAGGATCAGGTCGCCCTGGCGGTTGCCTCGCCCGGGCTTCGTCGTGTCTGCGCTTTGAACATGGCCTTCCCCTCGGACGTGGCGCGTCAGGCCATCGTCATGGCTGTTCGCAATCCCGACTGCGAAATCATTGTCTAATTGCCGAGGGGGAAGGGACAGAGCAGTCTGCCTGTCTGAAGGAGGCCCTCTGCGCACGTCCGAGTGGCGAAGAAGAGGCCCTCTGCCGCTCCCCGCGCCTCCCTTTGCTCTTCACATTGTCCGCACATACACCGACACACCCGCCCCCCCCCCCCCCTCCCTCCGTCTCCGTGGAGATTCTCACGGGTATCGGCCGGCCGGGTGTCCATGTGCACCATCGATCCCTTGTCCTTTGTTCCCCTGCCCCTCTCTCTCTCTCTCTCGCTGCCCGCAGCGTGCATGTCATTTTGCCGCACAGCAATACATTTATCCTGCCCTGGCCGGTGGCCACCAAGTAGCCACTGGCCGGCAACATATGTTTTGAATTTGCCCCCCCCCCCCCTCCCTCCAAATCCATGCTGCCTCGTGTGTTGGGTTCAACGGTGCATTTGGAAAAGGTAGACACATGGCGAGAAGGCGCGGGAAAGGATGTGGCAGGGGGAAGGAGGAAAGATGCCTGTGAATGGGTCCTCTTGTTGGATTCTGTGGGCGAAGCTGCGTTGTCGGGAAGAACGGGAGCCAGAGGATTAGCCGGAAGAGGGAATTGCCCAACCACAGTAAAAAAAGCACCTACCAACGCATGTGGTCGTTATAAATATAAAATCCCCACATCAAGAGAGATTCCTCCGCCTGCCCCCGCGAGGGGCGTCTCGGCCCCGGGCTTTTGCCTGGCGGATCGCCCTCCGGCAGCCAGAAAGGACCAGTGAAAGAGACCCGTCCAGGGCCTGGTGTGACTGACACGCGCCACCACGATCCCCCTCCGCCTCTGCCCGTTTCATGGCCTGCTTCTCCTCTCGGTCTTCCACGCGCTTGCTCTTCCCCTTACCCGGTCGCTTCCATGTCCGACATTGACACAGCGGCCACTCTTGCTCTCCCGGAGCCCGACATCATCCCCAGTGAGCCGGGGGTGTCGGCTTCCCCCGGCCCTGCGGAAACCGAGCCCGAGCCTTCGACAGAGGACACTGCCGCCTCTACCGCGGTCGCTGTCGATGACCGGGCTGGCCTGGATGCCTTCGCCCTGCCAGCCCTCACCATCGGTCGGGCACTCAGGTATCGGGTGCGGAACATTGCCCCCTCTCTCCACCTCCTCCCTTCCGATGCCGCTCCCAGCTGTCCTGACTGATGTGTACCTCGCACTTGTGGACGCGCCAGCTCCCGGACAATGCCATGCTTTCGCAGGAGTCCCAGCTTTGTGCCCGGCGCGCGGCCACACTCTTCATCAACTACGTCATCTTCACGTGCGCTTCATGCTACCGCACTTGCTTGCCCTGCGTGCCACCCCTTTCACTCACATCCGCGGCCAATGCCATACCCCGCCCCCGTGGACTATCCCCCAGTGCCATGGAACTCAGCCCTGGGAGGGTGAGCCCCTCGCCGGCCAGCATTGTTGCCGCTCTGCGAGACATGAAGCTGGATTCGATTGCCGCCTCGGTTGAGTATGCCCGTACGTACAAGTCCCCCCCCCCCCCCCCCCCCCCGGCGCCTCCTCCTGTGTCGAGGGGGGATCCTCCCTCCAGCCGGGAGAGAAGCAAGCAGAAAAGGCATGCGCCCGACTGACTCCCCCGGGGTGCCCCTCGCTCGTTTTGCCTCCCTTGCCGCACGCGGGCCAACCCATCTTCGAGGTAGTGGCTCACAACTTTGAGGGCCCCGGGTTACGGCCGGCCGCCACCGGTGGCTCCTCCGCCACAACTGCCCCCCTCCGGGAGAATGACTCCGAGGACGAGCTAGATTTGGACACCGAGATGGGCGCAAGCGAGGAGTTGATGCATGCGCTCCGGCCAGACCTGGCTCGGTTCGCCTTCGCAAGTGAGGACGTCAGGATGTCTGACGCCAGCGGCGACGACGACGACGACGATGAGCACCCGCTCTTCGAGACACAGTTGTAGGGGAAAGGCCGACTGGCAGACAGACGGTGCACGAGGACCAGCAAGACAAGGAAAAAAAAAGGCCCCATCGTCACCCCGCTCCCTCTCCCCCGCACCCCCCTTCCCCTGGCTGACGGACAGCGAGGATGCCTTGTGTGGAATGAAGCTGTTTTATATTTGAGGGACAAAAGGGGCGCTGGGCCTCGCGAGTGGACGAAGTCAACCGTCACCGGACGAGGAGGACGGTGCACCGAACAACCACGGGGTAAGGCACCTGGTGTTGTGTGTGTGAGTGTATGCGTGCGTGCGCGCGCGCGCGCACACACACACATACACGCGAATGCGCGGGAGAATGGGAGAGAGGGAGGAGGAGCCGGCGCGGTCGTCATATGGCACGAACTGGCGCCAGGGTGAGGGAGGTGGGCAACGGATGCCAGCTCCGCGTGCAGTTGTGGGGTGGGGAAACGTGGTCCCCCAAAAAGGCAAGTGCGTCTAGTTGACGGTCTTGCGGGAGGTGAGGACACGGGTGATAGAGCCGAGACCGCCGACCTCGATGGCCTATGGTGGTGGCCGATGTGCGTGTGTGTGTGTGTGTGTGTGTATAGGAGATGAGAATGGAGATAGGAGGGAGAGGAGAGAAGCATTGTGTGTCAGAGAGAGAGAGAGAGAGGGAGGGACAAGGAGGCAGAGCAAAAAGCAAGACCAGCAGAGGGAGGGGAGGGAGGGGGGAGACGGCGAGATGCAGGCCAGGGGGGGGCGCCCCTGGCAGTGGCAAGAGGCAGAAGCATGCTGGCCGGGCCGTCTTTCGCCCGGTCGGCAGCAGGTACGCACCTTCTCGTGCCAGAGAAGCAGGTGACCGGAGTACTGGCCGGAGGGGATGGCGAAGCCGGCATAGATGTACTTGACCAGGTTGTCGACCTGCTCAGGGGTCAGGCTCTTGATGACGGCCGGGATGTCAGCCGCGCGGACAGCGGACAGGGAGCTCATGACAGTCTCGAGGTTCTTGGCCTGCCGGACGCCATGGCAAGGGGCGAAGCGGAGATAGAGGGGGGGAAGAGGAGAGGGGGGGAGAGAGAGAGAGAGAGGCAAGGACACAAGCACATGTTAGAAGGCGGAGGGGGAGGAGAAGGGGAGGGCCAGCGGGGGAGGGGAAGGGGAGGGCCGGCGGGGGAGGGGAAGCAGGCCACGGAGGAAGCCTGCCTGGAAGAGGAGAAGCGGCGCACCTTGAGGGCGGCGTCGTTGCAGTTGAAGGGGGGGTTGTCGACCGCAACGGCAACAGAGCCGGCGGCATCACCCCTGAGTGTACGTGGCCAAGCGAGAAGGAGGAAAGTAAGCGGGTGGCCTGAGCGGGCGGAGGGGCGGAGGGGCGGAGGGGCGAGAAGACCGGAACGGATGAAGGAGGAGAGGCGCGCGCATGGTGCGGACAAGGCAAGGCCCGAGGGGGGGGGGGACACGCACTTGTTCAGGAGAGTGCGGACGTTGGTGGCACGGTCGTTGATGGAGGCAACGACGCTGGCGTCAACGGACTGGTCATCATCCTCGTAGCCCTCGCGAAGGAGGGAGTCAACATCGATGTTGCGGTGCTTGGAAGAGTCACCAACGCTGACACTGAAGGAGGACATCTGCATGGGGGGAGAGGGGGGCGGGAGGCGGAACGCGCGCACGCAAGTGTGGCGGCAATGGCAACGGCGATGGCAATGCGGTTAGCGGCGAGTGCAGTGGGACGGGAAGAGGGAAGAACATCCTCCGCGAAACTGCACGTGAAAGAGAGAGAGAGAGAGAGAGAAAGGGGGGGAGGGGGGCGAAACTGGACGGCGCGCTGCGGACAAGAGGGGCGAAGAGGGCGGTGCGGAGGGGGCAGGGGGGGGACACACGGTTGAAGAGAGGCGGGGGGAGGGAGGAAGGAAGGCGGGAGGGGGAGAAGATGAGCAGGTGCGGACTGCTTCGTGTGGCGCCCCCGTCGCATCGGGGGCACCGGAGGGCGGTCGGAAAAAGCCCCAGCTCCGCGGGCAGGGGGGGGGGAGGGCTGTACTCCCCGCTGGCCTCGTTCACCGACCTACCCAACTCCCTTGCCCTCTCTCTCTCTCTCTCTGTCGGCGTATGTGGCTCTCTCTTTCTGTCGCTGTCCCCTTGTGTCCCCTCGGTTCACTCTCTTTCTTGCGCACTGCTTTTGGGCCTGCCTGTGTTGCGTACAATCGAGAATAGCACTCACACTCACACACATACATATACACATACAGACGCAGTGGGGCCCCTCCCCCCGAGCTCCGGTCCAGGACCCGAGGGCCCGGTCGAATGCGCGGGGACCCAGCAACAACACACCGCCCCGCCCCGCCCCACCCCGCCCCCCTCCGCCGGGGTAAAGGGGCGCGGCGGCAGAGAAAACGGGGTGCGGCCTGCCCCGTCTGGGGTCGGTGGGTCCTCCCAGTCCCGACCTGCCTCCCCGGGGGCGGGGCTGTGCGCCGCCTTGTGGGACTCGGCGAACTAACGCCTCAGCCCTGGAAGGACATTCCTCCCCGGCTTGATGGCTCAGCCAGGATACAGGGGCCGGACGCAGGCGGAATGCACAGGGGCCCCGCTGAGCGCCGCGAGCTGGTTGAACGGGAAGGCCCGGCGCTGTCCGGCCCCCGCCTCCTCCCCCCCCCCATGCCGCCGAGCTGGGGGGAGGGAGGGGGGGGGGGCAGGGCGCCGGGGCGTGAGGGGGGAGAGCCCTCGCACGCGAGAAAGGAGGGTCTGCCGGCTTGCAGTCGGCCGCAGAGCCGGCCAGAAAGAGACCGCCCCACCACCTCCGACAAGGACACCGATGCTCGCAAAGTGCCGACAACACAGACAAGGCGAGCGCCCCCTTCTCCTCGGAGCCCTGCTCCGGAGTTACACTAATGCATCGAGCCCATTATGGGAAAAAAAATATACACGGGCCTTCAGAATCTCTGCTCCCCCCCCCCCGGTGGCCAGGCAGAGCGGAGGAGCCGGCGCGTACATGATGAGGACGTGCCATAACAGAGACGGGGGCAACCGCCGGGCGTTGTCCTTCGGAAGAGCGGTGCTTTTAATCGCACGAAATCCACAATGCGAGAATCCGACCCCAATGAATAACTGCATACCACTGATCAGAGGGCAGGGTTTGTTATTGTGTTGATCACGTCCGGGAACGGTGTTCTGCAAGTCAGCTTGACGGGCACGTTACCTAGCCCTGGAACAGTGTTCTTTCGGGCCGCACCCCGGGCCCGGCGGGTGGTGTTCGTTGGCCGGTCATGGGTCTTCTGCGCGGCCTCTTGGCAGGGTGCACAGAGGTGCTCTGTACGACGCCGCGGCGCCCCCCCCCCCCCCCCCCCCCGGTCGGCACCAAAGAGGCGGCTTTTCACGCGAGGGCGAAAGGGGTCTTTCCTCCGAGGGGCCGGGACCGGGGCCCGGGGCCCCGGGGCCTGGGGCAGGCCGTAAGTCAGCAGGGCACAGCAGTCCAGTCGGGAGAGGAAGGCCGGGGGGCCGGCCCCACTGCGGCCGGCATACCTTCACACCTCCGCAGGTATGGCTGGTCTCTCGCCCCCCCCCCCTGACTCGCCTCGCTCCCCATTCCCGAGCCGGGAGACCAAATAATCAAGATGGTGTGCACCTTGGGCTGCACAGAGGGCATGGGCGTATGAGCCCGGGAACGGGGGGGCGAAAGCTGATGGGCCCGGAGTGGGCGGAAATATTATGAGGTAAGCTGAGTTTTTTGTTTTTTTGTTGTTATATATTCCCCCTTCCCCACGCAGCGGCCCCCTCCCGGCCCCGGGTGCCCCTGGTGCGGCATGCGCCGGTGGCCGGGTCCGGGGCCGCTGTATCCACACCGGGGAGGGGCTGGGTGACCGGCTCGGGGGCCCGGTCCTCCACCGGGGGGGCGGTCAGGCCGCCTTGAGAGGCGCGTGCGCCGGGAATACTCACTCCAGTGTGCGGGCCCCGCCGAGGGAGGTGCCCCGGGGCCCTCCGGGCGGGAGGGACGCGCGTCGGGCGCGTGCCAGGGTGCCTCCCCCCTCCTGAGACCGCTTTAATGCGCCGAATTTCCGACCGAGGGCCCGTCCGCTTAAAGGGCCAGGGAGCCGGGCCAGGGCGGGCCCTCACATGGCCGCCGAGGTCCGGAACAGCCTTCGGCCCAGCAAGAGCAAGGGGTGTCGGGGCGGGGGCGGGGGGCAGGGGGGGGGGGGGGAAGACAGACAAGGGCAGAACAGTTCCCCGGCCGAGGGCGCGCGGGCTGCCCGGCTTTCCGCCCGCCGCCGGCTCCTCCCCTCGCAGCCGGCGATAATACCCGGCCGGCCGCCTGGGACCCGGGCGGAGCAGCGGCCCCAAACTTGGGTCCTAACAAATTGTTCCACCAGCCCGAGGGCCCGGGGTGCCGGAGTTCGAACAGGAGGGCGGGGCGGGGGGGGCGGAGCCGGGGGGGGAAAACGCTCGGCTGACCCCCCCCCCCCGAACACGCACTGCCGTCCGGGGAATCGTCCGGGGCAAGGGCCAGCCAGGGCATGCACGGAGCCTGGCCTTCCCCCGGGGAGTTGGTGGGCTCTCGGCGCCCCGGCCGGGGCCCTAGCTGCCGGGGCGCGCCTTTCACGCTTCTTCGCTCCGGCCTCCTGCCCGGAGCCAAGTCTGCTGCGTGGACGAACACCCTCCCCGGGCCCTCGCGCCATGCGACCCCGGCCCGCTGGGCATGAGGGCGACGGCTGGGCGCCTCGCACGGCCTCCAGGTGCGCCAGGGCGTCGCGCTGGGACCGACACGGCCCCCGGGCCCGGGGCTGGATCCTCCTCCGCGGAGAGGCGACGACTGCCGGCGGAATGCGTGCCAACTGCACGGTCGGGGCGCGCTCAAGGCCCCAAGCGCGTCTCGGCCTTGAGGGCGGCCCGGGGGAGGGCGGGGCGGGAAGCTCCCCCAAGAGAGCGTGAATGACTGCTAATATGCGCGCACCGCCGGACTTGGTGGGCCTTTTCCGTCCCGGAAAATATTCCCCGTCACTCGCCTGCGCGGAGGGCCGGCCGTGTTAGGACAGGGGCGCCCCCGCCCCCGCCCCGGCCCCCCCCCCCCCCCGCGCCTCTCCCCCGGGCAGCACCGACGGCGGAGGCCTTGTGGGGGATGGGCAGGCGAGGGGCCCGGGCACCAGGCAACTGGCCAACGTGCCCCCCTCTCGCCCGGGCCTGGGGGGGCGAGGGGACACGAGCCGAGAGGGACACATGCAACTCAACAGTCCAAACACATCCCCCCGCACGCCCAGGGCAGCCATCAGGGCGCCCCATTTTTTTGGCTGACGTTCGATGTGTCCCCGCCTCCTCGTCCTCTGGACCGAAGGCTCATCGTCCACATTCACAAGCTGGCGAGCGAGAATACAGGGGGGGGGGGGGGCGGACGTGCTGCTCCCTTGCCCCAGGACCAGGCGTCAGGCTCCTTCTCCACGGCCCTGTCCCTCGCCACCGGGCGACATGCCGGGCCTGCCGACATGCTGGTGCCGCATCCGGGCCGGCGGCAGGGGCAGTCGCCCCAGCCAGGCCGTGCCGAGAAGCATGGCTGGGCCCGTGCTCCCGGGCCGCATGCACGCGCACGCACGCACGCACGCACGCCATTGGAGGGGGGCTGGGCGGGGGGCCTGATGTGGGGGGGGGGGCCGGCGAATGCGGTGCCGTGAAAATAGCGGAGCCCCAAATTATTTGGGGCCACATCTTGGGGAGGGGGTCTGGGGACCGGCCCCGGAGGCGGTCACTCCAGCTCGTGAGCTTCCCCCCCCCCCCCGCTCCGGCGCGCCGCCCACTCCCGGCCGCGGGGGGCCGACGTGGCACGGTCCCGGCCCTCGGGAGCAGGGGCCCTTTTGGCCGGCAAGCTCACCCTCCTGCCTGCCACCCTTCGCCGCCGCCGCCGCCGCCGCCGCCGCGACCGCCTCGGGCGCCAGCATGCCCCCCGCGGCCGGGCCGGCGCACACATGGTCGCCGATTCGCCCTCTTTGGCTGGGATGCCTAGGTGTCTGTGGGTTGGTACATGGAGCACGGGCCGCTGTCGAGCCACGGCCCGAGATTATCTCGCCCACGCTGCCTCTCCATTCCCCGCCCCGGTCGGGACTGGGGGGCGGGGGGGAGGCCTTCACGTCACGGGCGCCCTCCCGCCCTCCGACCCGCCGGCCGCCACCACGCCGATACACACGGTCGCCCTTGCGAACGGGGGGGGGCGCCTCGCCCGCCCCGGCGAGCGCGGGACTATCTCCCTGGAGCGCTGGCCGGCTCCTCCCATCCGGGCGCCCAAAGCATGTGCTGTGTGCCAGGGGACCAATGGCCTCCCATTCCCTGTCGCGCGCCCGGGATTCATCCTCGGGCAAGTGCAGCTGAGCGCCGGGTGCGAGACCGCGCCAGGATGGAACCCCGGCCTCTCGCGGGCATGGGGTGGTCCCTCGCCCCCCTTCCCCCCCCGCCCACCCAAGGAGGGCCCGCACGAGGAAGTTCGGCTTCATCGGTCCGGACAACAGCCCGGAGATTATCAGCGCCCAGTGGGCCAGGATCCCCCCCCCTCCCCGTCGGCCGGGACACAGCAGGCACCATTCAGGTAGGAGGCCCGCCGCCCATCGCCCGGTCTGTCCCGTCCTCGGTGCGCCTCGCTCCCGGATGAGGGCTCGTGGAAGTCCCTCCATCTCTCGGGGGAGTTGGCCATCCGAGCAGGCGGGCAGGCAGCGCACCTGGCCCCGCAGGCCAGGTGGGCGGCAACCTCCTCCCCCCCCCTCCCCCCGACCGTCTGGAGGGGCCTGGCCGGTCGGCCGGCATGCGTATGTTCTTCTTGGCTTGTACTCACCCGACATGGCCGGGGGTCATTAGTTTGCCCGGGACGGCGGAGTACGGTGAGCGTGTGTGGCCGGGGGGGGGGGGGGGGCATTTTATGTGCCATTTTTTATTGCTCGATCATGCGTCGAAGGGGAGACCGAGGCGGACCGCGGTGTGCTGGCGAGCGAGCGCCCGCGGTGCCGGATCCTCCCCCACCACACACCCCGCCTTGTTGGCCTGAGCACCATGTGAAGATCGGGTCAACAGCCACCGGTCCAGGGCTTTTTCATATGACGGCCGTGTGCCCGGGAGACCGATCCACTCGCCCTGAGGTGACCTCCACCGGCGCAGACATGGCTCATGTGCGCACTCCGGGGGGGCGGGGAGGGGGGGGGGGACACATCCGGCACGGCGGCTATCACTGGAGCCGCAAGCGAGACATCCACGCCCAGGCGCATATCTGCCCCACCGTCGGTGCCCTCTCGCTCGGCCCGCCGCGGGGCCCGGGAGGTCGTCGCCGTGCCCTGTGTCGAGAGCCGATGCACCTCACATGTGGATCCTACACGGCCAAGGGCCTCGCCACCCGTGTCTCCGGGTGGCCCTGGCTGCCGGCACCGGGCCCGCCGCGGTTTCACCGCCCGAGCCCTAGCCCACCCGCCCTTACACCTACAGCTCCTCCGTCGGGAATGAGGCGACCATGGCCCGCAGTGCCCTGCGGCCTGCCGATGCTGGAGATCGAGCGGAGGATTATCGCGCTGGCCCCCCCCCCCCCCCCCCCCCCGGGGGGGTGGCTGGTCCTATGCCGGGGATATTCTACGGCCAGCCGGCCAGGCCGGGTCGGGGATGTTGGGACACGCCCACATGGAGAGCGAGCGGCCGGCTTCGGGGTGGCCGCGCAGGGGCGCAGGGCAGGGGGCGGGGCAACGTGCGTGACCTTCGTGCGGAGAACGCTTCCTTGCCCCTTTCCTTTTTGTCCAAGTGTTGTTCCCCTCCCCCCCCCGGGGGGGGGGGGCACAAAAGGGGGCAGGCGGCAGGCGCGGCTTCTTCGTCGTACGCCCTCGACGAGCCTTGTGCGGGCTGCCGAGGGGCGGGGGGCTCATTGCCGAGCCGACGGGAGCCCAGTGTTAGCCGTGCTTTCCGTTATCAGTTGGATGCCTGGGCTTGAGCCGGGAGTACACTCCTGTGTTCCCCCACCCTCTCACGCGACGCATTGTGAGGTTCTTGCTGTGTGCGCAAAATATGCGTGCGTGTGTGTGCTCGCCGGCCCCCCCCTTCCAGCCCCCCTACCTCTGGTTGTGGGGCGCGCGCGCGCGCGCGAGCACGCGCGCTTGTGTACACATGCACATACGCACGGATAGACTCGCCCGGCTCGCCTTCGCCGGCCCCCCCCCCCCCGGGGGGTTCGTGCTACATCCCCTGCTGGCATGGGGCTCACTCGGGGTCCGGGCAGCAGCCGCCCATGGGGTTGAGTTCCACCCCCCCCCCCCAGGGCACGACCCGGTGTGTTCTTGGCTGGTGGTGTACGCGCGTGTGTGTGTGTGTGAATGCACGCCGCCCACCGCCGGCTAAAATACAGATCCCCACTCAGGAACTCCAACGGCGGCCCGTTTTTTCCCGCCCCTCCCCCGCCCGGGCCCACCCTCACGACCAGCCAGTCCACCCGCTTGCCGTGCCCCCCACCGAGGTCACGTATGCTCTTGACCGCACCTGGGCCCTCTCGGGGGCGGCGCAGGAATCCCCCCGACCTGACCTGCGTCTGTGCCGGGGAGGCCGGCGCGCGGGGGGAGGAGGGGGGGGGGGGCCTCGAGTGGTGATCATCCCGCCACGTTCCACGGCCATACAAAAGACGGTCCCCCGCGCGCGGCTTCCCCCCACAGAGAAGCCCCCCAGATGCAGTCCCCCCCAACAACGTACCTGCTACCCCCCCCCCTCCACTCCACTCTCTGCCTGCCTGCCTGCCACTCTCCTGCGCCCGACGCCGAGAGATCTCCTCTCTGCGTCGACGCCTAGCTCCTCGCCAAAGCCGCTGCATACGCCTCCCCTCCTCACCTCCCCCTTACCGCTCCTTGCCCCGTGAACCCCCCTACTCACCTTCATCCCCCATACTTTGCTGTCGGTGGTCTTTCTTGCGATGTCAGATCGCATCACCCCCCCCCCCCCTATTGCTGTTGTAAGCATGACAGACACCCCCCCCGCTCAGAGCTCCGTGGCGGCCACCAGCTCGGCCCGCATCTACTTCATGCCGGACGGGTCCTTCTCGCCGCAGGCCTTCTTCGACTCGGTCATCTCCTTCGAGGACTCCTCGCAGCTGACCCCGGAGATTGCCTTCCGCGTGGTTGAGAATGCCGCTCGCAATGCCGGCCTCACCAAGGAGCAGATCGACGCCGCAGCCACCTTTGCTCACCACAACTCCGCCCGCATGCGCTGCAACGTCTCGCGCGTCAAGCGCCCGCACATCGTCTGCCCCAAGGATGACGGCTCCGGTGAGGCCCGCCCCAAGCGCAAGGTCCGTCCTTCTGTGAACTTCTCCCTCTGCCTCCTTCCGCCTCTTCCCCCACCCCCCCTGGCGCGCGCACGCCCGTCTCCCGTTCGGGTCTTTCTCCGTTGCTTTCATCCAGTGCCATGTCCCTCTGGGGCTTTGTGTGTTTCCCTGTGAGTGTGTGTATGTGCATTTGTCTGCTCGCCTATGTGTCGCCCCCTCTCCACTACCGGCCAAGGGGGGAGGGGGGTCGCGCAGGTATCATCTTTGGGGGCAATTAGAGGCATATGGGTGGCAGGGCGGCCTCCTTCCCCCTCTCTCTGTCGCGCTTCGTGCGCGCGCGCGCGCGCGCCTGCCCCCCGGTGGTGCCCTGGGCATCTCACCGTCTTTTCCATGTGCCCAAAGTGCACAAGGCGGCGCAGGGCAACGAGGGGGGGCCTCGAGGGGGGCCGCCGCCTCGCGATAGCAGGGGCGTTCCGACTTGTATGGGTGTGGGTTTGGGTGTGTGTCCTTTCCCTCAGCAGCCCCCCCCCCTCGGCGAATGGCCCCTGCCTCCCTCCTCCTCCGTTGCTGGCTCCTCATCTGGTGTGTATGTGCGCATGATGCGGGCCGGCATGATGTGGCCACCCGTATTTCGATCCATCCGGAGAGAGACGACAAGGTGGAGGCCAGCGAGCGCGAGTGTGGGGGGGGGGAGCCCGCGGCCGTGAGGGGGAGGAGGAGGGCGTTGGGCCCGTGGTGGTGTGGGCCTTTGCTTCCCGCCGCCACCATGCACCTGCACGGGACCTTCGGTTGATTCGGGTGAAAATCCACCCACTCCATGTGGAATGCTATTTCATAAGTGTAATGTCCGGCACTTGCCAACGCACCCTTGACATGTCTCTGTGTCGAAGGCCGGGCTCGGGTGTGTCTCCCCCTCCCCGTCGTTCCCCCTCGCGCGAGGGGGGCGCGAGGGGGGATACAGACTCGCATCCGTCTTTCCTCTATGTGGACCCGTTGGTGCCAATCCGTCCCCCCCCTCTCTCTCTCTGTGTGAATCTCCCTCCGTTGTCCCCCGCTCCCCCACTCTGCGTAACTGCGCGCTACTCAGAAGAGCGGTCGTGTTGTGGCGGAATGTGGCTGGGTGGCAGGCACTCGCTTCGCAACAGGATCTCCATCGGGGAGGCCTCCCTGTCGAGGGAAGGGCGCGGGGGGGGCTTGCGTGCCCTTCGCCAGGCTCCTCCCTCTTCTCCCGGGCAAAGGGGGCTATCCTCGTTCCCCGGGCCCCTTGCCCACCCGTCCACCCACGGGATGTCCCCATGAGCGGGGGGGGGGGGGATGTGCCAGCGCGGGATAATAGTCCAAGTCAGGGCACTTGGCCCCCTCCCCCCCCCCCCCTTCCCTGGCACAACCTTGCCTGGCCCCCTCTCTCCACATCCATCTATTTTTGGTGAGAGGTGGGTCGGCGGGGGGGATTGGCCGATGTGTGCCTGTGTGTCTGCGCCAGGGCCCCCGGGGGCGGGGAGAAGCAGGGCAAGAGTGGAGGAGCGGGCCCCGACGCTCTGTGTTGGCCGTGCATGCTTTGCCACCCCACCCCCCCTCCCCCCTGGCCGGGACGGGGGGTGGCCCGAGTCCGATGACATCCGGTCCGCTGCCCCCCCCCCCCCCCCCCCCCCCCTGGCCTGGCCGGCCACACGGGGAGGTGGCGGCATGCATTCCTGGAGGGAGCATTCTCTGGTCCAAGACGTGTGCCGGTCTCTTCTTTTCCACACACCCGACAGGGTCCACAAGGGACAGGGCTCCCCTCCCCTGCCTCTCTCCTCTTCCTTTACAGCTCGTTTCGCTTCGCGGCGATATGTCAGCAGAAAGCATGAGGAGGGGTAATTGCTCTCACATGCAGCCTTCTTCCGGTTTTACCCGCCACTCTCTCCTCGGCTATTCGAGATGCCTCCAGAGCATGGCTAAGCACTTTTGTGTGCCCCCCCCCCTCTCCCCTGTGTCTGCCCCGCCCCGCTTGCGCGAGGTTGACATTGGGCACTGCCCCGGTCTGGGGGTCTCCCCTGGCCCCCCCTCTCTCTCCCTGTACGTGTCCTTGTATCGCGAGGAGCAGAGTGAGCGAGGGGGGGGGGGGGGGGGGGGGGGCAAAGGCCGATGCGTCTTTCACTTAACGATGCATGCGGGGCCCTGCTCTCTGGTGTGCGTGGGTCGGAACAAAGGGCATGCGGCCTTTAATAGGAGCGGGGCAGGGGCAGGGGAGGGAGCAGGGTGGTGTGCGTTTTGGCGCGCTCCCGCTCCCCATCCTGGGACCCCGATCCGTGTGTGCGTGTGTGTGTGTGTGTGCGCGAGCGCAGGGCACCCCCCTCTCCCGCGCGCAGCTGGGGCGCAAAGTGTCACATCCAGGACACAACCTCGTCCTCGATCGAGCACGTGACACCGGACCGGCCAACATCCATCATTTGTGGATATCCGCAAGGGGTGGGACGGGCTGCGCCCCCCCCCCCCCCCCTCCCATCCGCCTGCCATTTGTTGGCCACAATCAATTGGCCAGTAGATGGGGGGGGAGGGGGGGGCGGGGGGCGAATCCAAGGCGTGTGAAACGGGCAGGGTCGTGTACCCGCGCGGGCATCGGCACAGATATGACACATGGATGGAAAATCCCCCAGCCAGGCTACCTTGGCCACTGTGGTCGCCGGCCCTGTCGCGTCGTCCCTTTTTATCCCTGATGGGGGAGTGGGGGGGGGGGGGCTGTCCTCGAATCCTTATGTCGGCTTTCCACTCTCGGCGGGGGCCTCTCCCCGTGTCTCGTCACCAGTATTGTTTCCCACCGGGTGCCCTCTTTTGTGGCCCCGTGTTGCAGCCCCCTGCCGGGCCGGCAGGCTTTCCTTCACCCCCCCCTCGCCTGAATCGCCTCTGGTTTGTCCAGAATGTATTCCTCCCCTCCCTTACCTTACCCCCCCCTCTACCTACCCCCCCCCACCCCCCCGTCCTGCCTGTCTTGCCCTTGTTGCTAACCCTTCCTCCCTTCTGATGACTCTGCCCTTCTCCTTGCCCTCTCCCCCCCCTCTGTTGGCGCGATATAGCTCATCGATGACTACAAGCCCCAGGACCTGCGCAAGTACGGTAACCTCGACAAGATCCCCGTCAACCTCCAGGAAGTTGGAACTGGCTATCGCAGCTGGTTCGGTGTCATCAACTGGCTCTCTCTCGGCATCTTCTTCGCCGCTATCGCCTTCATCTACGCCAAGTCCTCCATGATGCTCATCTCGGCCAATGAGCTGGCCAGCAACCTCAGCCAGCGCTATGAGGTATGCACTCTCTCTCTTCCTCTCTCTCTCTCTCTCGCTCTGTTGCTGCTCCACCTTTTACTCCCTGTCCCCTTCTGCGACATTCGACCGCTCACCCCTTCTCCCCCCTTTCCTCCCCCCCCCTCCCCCTCCCCTCCTTCCCGCAGCAACTCTATGCCGTCCTGCACGGCCTGGAGACCGACCTGTGGATCGTGATCATCGCCATGTCCGTCTTCCTTGCCTGGGGCGCGCGCCGCTTCCTCAAGCAGACCTCGGTCTATCTGCTGGACTTCGTTGTTCTCGACCCGGACCTGGAGTACATGATCGATCGTGACTTCTTCATGCAGCGCTCTCGCGACTCCGGCTTCTTCACCGACCAGGCCCTGGACTTCCAGGAGAAGATCCTCCGCCGGTCCGGCCTCGGCGACCACACTTACTTCCCCCCTGGTATTGTCATCTCGCCGATGGACCTGTCCATGCAGTCGGCTCGCGATGAGTTCCTCTATGTGGCTGGCAAGTGCTGCGATGAGCTCTTCCAGAAGACCGGTGTCGATCCGTCCAAGATCGACCTGATTGTGGTCAACTGCTCGCTCTTCAACCCGACCCCCTCCCTGTCGGCCATGATCATCAACCGCTACAAGATGCGTGACAACATCCGCAACTACAACCTCTCGGGCATGGGCTGCTCGGCCGGTGTCATTTCCCTGGATCTCGCCAAGGACCTGCTCCAGGTGCATGGCGCTTCCAACTGCCTGGTCATCTCCACCGAGAACATCACCCAGAACTGGTACCACGGTAACCAGCGCAACCTCCTGCTGTCGAACTGCCTCTTCCGCATGGGCTGCGCCGCGGTGCTGCTCACCAACAAGCCCCAGTATGCCAGCCGCGCCAAGTATGAGCTGCTGCACACCGTGCGTGTGCACCATGGTGCCAGCGATGAGTCTCTCGAGGCTGTTTACCAGATTGAGGACCCGGACAACCTGATCGGTGTCCGCCTCAGCAAGGACCTGATCAACGTCGTGTCCAAGACCCTGCGCTCCAACCTGACCACTCTGGGTCCGCTGATTCTGCCGATCTCCGAGCAGCTGAAGTTCTTCATCAACCTGGTTCAGGTATGTTTCCTCGCCTTGCTCTCTCTCGCTCTCTCTCTCTCTCTCTCGGTGGTCGTCGCCCCTTGCCTCTCGGGTTGTGTCTGGGGTGTTCCTCCTCCGGGCACCGATTGCGCCAGGCGTGGGCATTAGTCTCACATTCTTCCCTCCCTCCTGCTCCCCCCCCCCGCCCCTGCAACCCTGCACACACGCGCACGCGATGCCCGCTGCAGACCAAGTACCTGGGCTTCAAGAACATTCCCCGCTACACGCCGGACTTCCGCAAGGCCGTCCAGCACTTCTGCATCCACGCCGGCGGCCGCGCTGTCATCGATGGCCTCGAGCAGAACCTCCAGCTCACCCCGGATGATGTGCTGCCCTCTCGCGCCACCCTCAATCGCGTGGGTAACACCTCCTCCTCGTCCATCTGGTATGAGCTCTCCTTCATCGAGTATTCCGCCCGCATCAAGAAGGGCGATCGCATCTGGCAGATTGCCTTCGGCTCCGGCATGAAGTGCAACAGTGCCATCTGGAAGGCCCTGCGCCCGATCCACGACCGCTCCCGCGACGGCTTCTGGGCCCTGACCGGCGGCGATGGCCTGGCCGATGATGCCCTCGAGGCTCTGGCCCGTGTTCACAAGCACCTGGCCAAGATCGACTCCCGCAAGAAGCCGGCCGGCAAGGCCGTCAACTAAGGAAAAGTGACATTTGGCGGACAGCGAGGAAGATGCTTCTCCCTGCCCCCTTCCTCCTCCCCTTCTCTCCCTCTCTCTTTCTTCCTGTGACATTCCCCTTGTGCTTTTCCTCTTCGTCTCTCTCTCTCTCCCTCTCTCTCCTCCCTTCCCTCCCCCCTGTGTTACCTCCCTCTGGTGCACATGTTTCGCGCATGCATGCATGCGTGTACGCCCGCCCTCTCTCTCCTTCCTCCAGAAGGGACGGAACTGTGTGTGCACCTGTGGTGGCCCTCAGATCTCTTTCCCCTCCCCCCCCCCTTCCCTTGCGCGCCCATGCACGCACTTCACATCCTTATTCGGCCTGCGCCCCGCCCGTCGTGTCCTGCACACTTGCGCCTCCTTTTTTCCCCACATACCCAGTACCTTGCCCTTCTCTCCACCTTGGGGGTCCCCCATGGTGGGCGAGGGGTGTAAACTGGGGCCCGGGCGAGAAGCAGTGCGTCCGTGGGATTGGCGCACAGTGCGCATGCCAGTAGTGTGGCCCCTCCCCCCCTGTTGTTGCTGCACTCTCTGTGTTCCGTGACCGGCTCATAGATCCTCCCCCTCCCAGAGAGCAGCTCCCTGTAAAGTAGGCTCCTGCCGTCTCCCTCTCTTCCCTGATATACTCCTCCCTTCCTCTGCCTCTTCGCGTGAGCTTCTTCACTTGTTTGATTTCCTCAGTGCGCGCCGAGCTGGCGTGGCGGCCGGCCCCGCGACACGTCCCTCCTCCCCCCCCTCATTGAAGAATATACACCAAGCCGCAAGCATCGGGAAGAGGGTGAGCCATGTGTGCCTGTGTTTCACTTCGGTCTTTTTCCACCTTCTCTTTCTCTCTGTGTCTCTGTCTCTGCTGTCTTCGATGACAGTATGTATGCATGTATATGTGTGTATCTATGTGTGCTTGAGAGGGAGGAGCTCGGGGCATAACGAGAGGAGTGGGCCAGGTTAGCAGCGGCAGCAGCACCCGGGGGCGGGCCCACCAAGCCTGCCTCGGCAAACAAGAAGGGCGACGCGGCAGATATTAGCCGAGCTCTCCATGGCTCTTTCAACTGAATGTGCCCCCCCC